TAATATAGAGGAAATAAAAAAAGGATCTACTATATATAATCTAGCTCTAAAGTACTCTACTTTTATTAATACTATTATTTTAATTAGACTTAACTTTAATTAACTTAATCTCTTATTAAACTACTTAATTTATAGATAATATACTTATAGCCCCTCACTATAGTACTAATAATATATTTATATTATTTTATAATATATTTAAAGAGGAGGATAATATAAGTAATAAGGAACTAATTTTATTATAAATCTAAGTTATTTATAGTTTAGTACTTAAAAGTAATAGTTTATTTATTCTTAATTTAACTATTAAGANNTATTATATATAATAGATTTAGTATTATTAATATATTAAATATAAATAATAGAGATTAAGAGGTAGATAATAGTACCTAACTTAAAGTAGAAATAACTTACTTATATATTCTAAAAAAAGCTAATATTACTATTATTATTACTTAGAGGAAGTTTATTAGTATATCTAAAATAATATTAATCTTTACTTAGATTTATCTATCTATTAGAGAGGTTATTTAGCTAAGTATTCTATAAGTTAATATTATTCCCTCTTTTAAATAAGCTAAAGAGAGAGGTAAAGTCTACCTTACTATTAAGTAGTAATATAGTACTATATTAATCTCTAGTAATATAGTACTATATTAATCTCTAGTAATATAGTAATTAGTATATAAATACTTTAAAAAAGTAGCTAAATAAGTATTTTAGCTAGTATATAAGAGGTAATTAATTATAAGTTTAATAATCCTATAAATATTAAGTATTAGAAGGAGGGTATATATAGATAACTTCTCTATATATATATTTACTTAAAGTATTAGAAATATAAGAATAGTTTAAGTAATAAGAAGTTTAATTAGTATTATATATTAAGTTAGAAGTACTATAAGATTAAATCTTACTATATAAAAAAATAAATAAAAGCTCTTATAACTAGATAGATTAGTATTATTAATATAGAACTACTTAAAGAACTACTTAGTAAGATTCTTTATAACTAGTTTATAGAGGATTAGAAATACTAAGGTAAGAGAAATAAAAATATTATTAAAGTTAATAATAATTAGGAGATAATAGTAATAATAGAAGAGAAGGCTAAAAATATTATATTTCTATTATTAAGGTTAAGATCTAACTTAACTAATACTAATAGTAATACTATTATTAATATATATAGTAATATAAAGGCACTAGATTATTATTTTTAATATTCTAACCTATATATATAGCTATTACTACTAATATTAGTACTAGTAGTATATTAGCTATATATAAATATCTTATAGTATTTATTACTAACTCTTCTGCTATTAAACCTTCTAAGTACTTATTAACTAAGTATTATATTCTTAATTTATTTATTCTTATTAGTAGTATTAGATTTACCCTAAAAAGCTTTAGATTAAGTAGCTAGTTTTATTAAGTAGTTTATATCTATTTATAGTAAGTAATATAATATTAATAAAGAGTTTAAAAAGAAGTTATAGAAACTATAATTAGTAAATAGTAGCTTATAGGTAGTTTATAAGTTATTAGATATTTAGTTTATTAAATATAGTTTTATTTAAAATCTTACTAAAGATATTAAGAACTTAATTAAATCTTTTATAAATAATAGCGCTTATTATAGAGGGTAGTTTAATACTATCTCTAATATAATATCTTACTTTAAACTTTATTTAAACTATTAAGAATTAGAAGGAGATGTTTATATAAGAATATATACTAGATTACTAGAAGGGATAATAGTAGTACTACTTAAAAACTCTATAATATTAGTTTTAAGTAAGTTAAGGTTATCCTAATATATTAATACCTTAGTACTATATTAATCTATTAAGTAAGAGATCTATAGTATACTAATTAAAGTTAGTTAATATAGTAAATATATATAGAGCTATTTACTATTAAATATAGCTAACTTTATAGGTATTTTAGAACTTTTTAGTTTTATTTTATTATTACTACTATTAGTATTATAGATACTACCTATATAGTTATAGATTAAATAAAATAAAGTTAAGTAAGGTAGTGAAGATAATTAGATTAAAATCTTAAGTAATATATTATTAATAGAGATATATTACTTAGAGGAGGATAAAGAAGAAGAGTAATATAGTAAGAGTAATATGAAGTTTAACTATATATATGATTTTCTTATATAATATATTTAACTATAGAAAAGTCTACTTATAGCTATAGATTTAACACTACTACTATATATATATAAAAGCTATAGAATTACTGTGATTTTAGATCTATAAATAAGATAATCTATCTTAATACTTCTTAGTTTAATATAGTTAAAGTCTCTAACTATAATTAAAGTCTCTAACTATAGTGATATATTATTATTATAAATTATCGCTATAAGTATTAATAATATATTTCAGCTACTATATAGGTAAAATTGATATATATATATAGCTACTAATAAAAATAATAGATAATAATATATTTTCTATGTTCTTATACGCTTATAGCTGAACTTTTTGTAATCTTACTAGCTATAATTATAGATCTAATAATTTCCTACTATATAATAATATAATTAAGATCTATTATAATTATATAATAAAGATTTAGATTACTTATTAATATTTAATATTTATAGCTTATCCTCCCTTTTATAGTTTAATATTATTAAATATATACTCTATCCTATTAAAGTTAATAAATAAATAGTAGAAATAGTCCTTAATTTAAGGTAGATAATACTTAATCTTTATAGTATAGTTATATAGATATTCTATAAAATCCTAAGTATTATTCTTATTATTATTCTACTTTAAATATATTTTCCTAATATATTACTTTAAATTACTAAAATACTCCTTAATAAGGTTAAAGTTTAATAAATATAGAAGTAGAAACTTAAGATTAATACTTAATACCTAATATAAATCCTTAACTTTAAGTATATAATAATAGGAGAGGTTATTTATAATAATAATAGAGTTTAGCTCTAGAAAACGTTTATATTTTAGGATAAAGTATTCTTATAGCTAATAAAAGAACTTATTACTATTAGTTATACTATAATATATAGTTAAGTATAGAATACTACTTAATATAAGAGCTAATAAGATTTATATATAAGAGTTTTAAAACTAATTAATCTCTATAGTTTAAAATATAATAAGCCTTTTTAGTACTTATCTAATCCTCTATATCTTAGTATCCTTATTAATACTAAATTTATTAATAAATACTAGCTAGTTAGGGTAATATTATTATATATAGTATAAATATTTATATTATAGTTTATTATTTTATTAAGTAATAATAATTATAAACTTCTTATTTATCTAGCTAGATATATTTAACTATTAACTAATTATAGAATAACTAATTTAGATCTTAAAAGCTTTAAATAGGAAATCTTATATCTCTTTAAGGGATAGGTTACTATAGTACTATAGTAGTTTAAGAAGCTCTATATAATACTATATTTCTATCTTTTATTAACTCTAGTAGTACCTCTTATATCTCTATACCTCGCTAGTAATATTACGTTATGATCTATATTATTAAATTATTCGTTTAGTATAGCTAATAATACTTACTAGCTTATAAGTCTTTTAGTCTTTAAATAGTAGTATTATTATAATTACTAATAGCTATAGATTTAATATTCTAAGTATTATTATATTATTATTATCGCTTAATGTCTTTCTCAGTATATCTAATATAATAAACTATAGATATATATTAACTAATAGTAGATTATAAATAACTAAGTATTATCTATATAGTAGTAGACTTTTACTTAATATTATAAATAAATTAAACTATTAGGGGATTTATTACTCTAGTTAATTACTAAAGCTATTTACTCTAAAGAACTTATATTAAGTTTCCTAATATACTTTTATATTACTTAAAGTTATATAAAACCTATATTAAGTAGATATATAAAGTTATATTATAGGTCTCTTTTTTTATTCTTTAGTAATATTATCTTAATCTCCTATAAGATTTATTAGTTAATTAGTATAGGGATAAAGTAACTAACTAAGTTAGTAATACCTCTATAAGTAAATTAACTACTATAGAGGTATTAGATATATACCTTATATCTCTATTATATAGTTATATATTTAAATACTACTATAACTATAATAATTAATAGTAATTAAGGTACTAGTAATAGGTTTAATATATTTTATATATAATATAGTAAAATGCACGTTATAGTATAAAATTAACTTTTTTTTATGTTTTTGTATAAGCGGGGAAAAAAAGGGGGGGTGGACGCTATTAATGCAACGGACTGTACTTGGGCCTGATCGGTCGCCACCCTCGTTCAGTGAGCCTGGAGCACCCACTGCAGCGGCTGGCCTGGTGGAAGCGGCCCGGCCCGTTTCCTACATGTGGTGAACTGGGAACCCCCCGCAACATCTTTAAGTACACGTACAGTGCTAGTGCTGTTGATACCCACTCTGCCGCCCTTGGACTTTGGTTCAGTCAGCATGGACACTGTCAGCTGTAGTGCGATAGGCTGCGAACAGATTGGCGTCGGCAAGGAGTCGTCTGGAGCTTTTTGGGCTCAGCGATGAGGTGGGGAGTATCAGGTGATACGAATCGACGTAGCGTTGTCAGCCATCAATCACTGCTTGAGCTGGCAGCCTTCCTGCCAACCCGCTTCCCCATGCCAAACGTGACTGGCTCGGTTGAGCTCGCCGAGCCTGCAGTAATCCTAACGCGTGCGGAAAATACGGGTCTTGGGCAGCAAAAGGCTCCGAATGATTGGCTTGTTGGCGAGATAGGCAGAGTGTGTCTCATTCCTTGCACTGACAGACCAATCATTGCGTGGAATCGGCCAAATATGCTGCATAAATCAATTCAACCAAAATGAACGATAAAAGGGGGGAAACCCTATTCCATCATGGTTAGTCAAATGAAGCGGCTGTCCCTCAAACGTTCCGGTTACCTTGCAAGCGACTCATGACCTTCTGATTGGGTCCTACCCGTCGTTTTTCAACATGTTTCCGTTCAATTCCGCGCTAAATCCGGCCTCCGTGGCGAAGCGCCAACGGCCAGAACTGCCGTCGCCACGCCACGAGGAGCGTGCCTGCATGGAGGTCCCTGAAGATGATGAAATGGCCGACGCGACGGAAGATTTGGATTTCCGCTTCCACGACATCGATACCGAGCCCGGCACGCGGGCGAGGAAAGCTCCCGTGCCAAGAGAGATGACCGGCAACGACGATGATTTTGAGCATGATGCCCGCGCACCGGTAAGCCTCCCCATGGAGAAAGAAAATGGTAAAAGATACATACGAACCTGTGTTAACTGTGGATGTTCCATGCAAAGTCTGCTCTGAGTTTTGATTCCGGAGGTGTTGAAGGGTGGTTCCCTTACGTTCGAGAACGACTGGGCCAGCTGGAAACTATTACCCTCAATTTCAGGAATCTTTCTGCCCAACGGCGCACGGCCAACGACCAAGCAAGCTTGCAGCACCTTTATGAGAGTCTTGTTATGCAAGTTCATTCCGAACAAGCAGAACTAGAGTATACTTTAGGACAGACCGATGGCACAAGGCACGACTTTCCCATGGGAGACGGCCTCGACTCGGGAGGTATCTTGACATGGCGAAAACATTGGCAGAGACGCAAGAGAATACGTGAGACAATCAAAGAGGCCTCTTTGACGCTCAGTGAGTGTTACAGAGGTTTGATGGAATCGTCTCTCACCGCAGGGGCTGATGTCACGGGGAACGGGACTGAGGAGGCGCGTCTGCTGGCGAGACTGGAGTCCGCTCGCCAGAAGCTGGAACAGTCAATTGATCCACAGGGAAGCAAAAGGGTCAATTACCCTCCACGCGTGCGGCGCGACAGGTTGGACAGGGGCGATAAGGCGGGGTCATCATCGATGCCTGATTGAGTACTGCGAAGAGATTCGAGCCTACCTAATCCAACTTCGTCCTTGTCCCGCATTCAATAAGAACAGACACAATGTCTAGTGAAAAACATGGTGAGAGGCTTTGACCGCATCTTTTGGGCCATCAAGTCAACAGGGTTATTGTTGATGATATCAATAATGGAATGAAAATGATAGCCAAGCTTCCTGACAGACAGGCACATGGAGATCACTCAGCAAGAAGAGCCGGCCAAATGCGAGTTTTAATTTCTCAAGGGATAACTCACAGCAGTCAGAAGTTCAAACACTGCAAAGGGTTCATTTGTAATAAAATAGCAAACTGCCAAATGAAGTCGCCATTCAATGCAACGTCAAAAGCGAGCGCTAGTTAGGCCTTGTACTCATAGGATGAAGTACACGATCGGCTCTCACACAGTTGCACCAGTAACCTGCACCGTGGGCATTTCTGCCAGTAACCCAAACAACCTTCTTTTCCATAGACGTCCCAAACCAACGCAAACCTGCTGGATCCACAGCTTTCCGTCGACCTCAAAAACGTACGAAGACGAAGATCTTGCCGTGTCTCCCTTCATTTGCATGATGTCAGTCAACATGCGATCAGCTGTCTGCTCATCCGCGGCGATCAGATGCATCACGGGCTTCTCCTGGTACATCGTCTTCACCATCTTCTGCACAACTGCGCGACTGAAGAATCCCGATCCCACGATCACCATGAGAACCATCTGTGCCATTGGCATAGCCAATAAAGTCACCGCGGCGAATACCGACGTGGCGAATACGTAGCAAGTGAGGCCACCTGCGCGGAAGAAGAGTCGGAGACCGGACAACCAGTACGGTGGGCGCTTGTCGTCTTGAGAGACGGAGATAACAACTAACATCTGCCGACTTGGTCGAGACGAGCCGTAGTTGTGCCCGTCTACCGCGTTCCACTTTGGTTCAGCAGTCTTGATACTCTCCTTCATCATTTTGTCTTTGAAGCCATCGAGAAGAAAGTTTCCCTCCTCGGGGGCCGCTGTGTCGCTTCCGTTGAGCGTCACATTTTGCCGAGTGATGTATACCTTCCAGTGCTCGTGGAAGGGAATATTGATATATCCATCCACGATGGCAACGAATGTTACTATTCCAATGCGTTAGCAGTGCTCGGCAACGGTGTCCAAGTTGACATACCGACGAGGTACCAAATGTGAGCCCACGAAGTGAGAGTGCACCAGTTGGCATACACTGCACCTTGCTCAATGACGGCCAAGGAAGCCTGCGAAGCCCCTACGAATACTGCCAGGACAAGGCATCCAACGATGAAGAACCATTTCGCGGAGAGTCCTGCGTACCCCAGCGATCCGTGTTGCTCCTGATCCATCGCATATCGGATACGCTGCTGGACCTCATTCGCAGTCTGTTCGTAAGTCGCTCCTTCGTCTTCATCTCCCTTTTCCGTCGCCCGCGGGACACGCATCGCCGTGCATCCCTGGGCTTTAGAGACCTTGAGATAATCCTCTGTCTCAGAAGGCACCATGGTTGCGCCAAAGGTCAGACACTGTGCCAGAAAGCCAGCTATCGGAGACATTCTCAGCAGCGCCCACAATTCTGCCGTAGGGCTCCCGAAGAGAGCGCCAGCAGTGGGAAGGAGTGTCAACACGCCCGCCGAGGCGCCATACTCGGTCTGTTGAAGGGCAGACAGGTCATCAAGGACCGCGATGAGATTGCTCCGACAGACGGCATAGGTATCAGTGTTGCGAATGCATTGGCCACGGCGGAGCCAGACGTCGCTTGAGAAAAGGCCGCCTGGGTGCTGAATTGTTGGGTCTTTGAAGTTGTCAGAGAGGCATGGCGAGGTATAATTGTCGTCCTGGGCTAATGCGCTCGTTATAATCCATGTCAGGATTAGGAAAATGGATGTGCGGATATGCTGGAATGGGGTTGTGAATCTGGCCCATGTCAGCGAGTCCATTTTGGCATGTAAGCGGTGATGCTTCAACCATTTCCGTTGATAACTGTCAGCAGCAGCGACAATGATGACTACTTGTAGTCTTCATGTGTGATGGGGGATACGTAATCTGGCAACCACCGAAAAACCGCTCGTTGGTCTCGTCAGCCTGCTAAATGTAGGCAGTCGTAAAATCTTTTGTTCAGCTGCCCCACAAGGCTGCGACGTCAACCAAGTCCATGTCAGCAGATACCGGGATAGACGCAGTGAGACCCTTTTCTGGGTGCGGAAGAGAGAAATTGACGTATCACGAGGGCTGGTTGACGCAGGTCCAGAAGGCTGTGGGATTGAAGGCCCGTCGGTGCAGGGATCTGCCACGGGTGCCTAGCGTGCGAGATGTGTGACAACCGCCAATGGCGTGATCTTATCTTGAATTGTTCACTGCAATTCTTGAGAATCTGTAAAAGATAGGTGAATTTGAACCAAAGTACTTCCGCTTGGATTCTGCCATTGGACGGGGTTCCGGCCCCATGACCAAAGGCAGCAATTTGCTTGGCTCGCCAACCTGAATGCTGCAGCATCACGACCAACAAGGGTACAAAAGTTCCAACGAAAATGCGACACCAGTCAAGTGCTCTACCCACAGCAGCATCTCAACGATCTGAAAGTGTTTTTCTATAGTAAAAGTATTGAAACTAGAGAGATCATATCTAGTGCATATAAGACTCGATTATTCGCAAGCATCATTCTCAGTTCGAATGAATTGCTCATCCGCCAACGTCGCAAGCGTTTCAATCTCCTCGTTGCTTTTCAAATCCAGCAACTGTCCAAAGCACCAGCCTAGAGTGGTCTTCAGTGCTCGCAAAAGTTCCACGTCACATCCTTCAATCTCTCCTCCTCTCCCTCCTTGAGCCAAGTCCTCTCCTTCATCACCTTCAACCTCGCCTCCTTTGCCTCCGCCAGCCCCATTGGCCACTCCACCTCATCGGCAACTAACTCGCCAAGCTCAGCTGGTAAGACTCCCTTCCCGCCGTCCAAACCCGTCGTCCCGAGCCACCAATGTTTCTGCTGTGGTGGCACGTTTGAGGTACTCACAATCTCGATCGCGGGGTCCACCAGAAACAACGCCAAGATTTTCCGATGCCCCTCCTTCGTCGGATCTGCCAACCTAAATGGCGAAACGTGATGCTGCAACAAATTCGGGAAAAACAGTGCCCGTCCCGTCTTCGTCACCACCGAACCAATGTCCTGGAAAATGCTTTGGTTCTGCTGGACGGCAAATGTGCGCTCGATGCTACGGTGGTCATATTGTTCATACGAAAGTGCACCCTCGTCGAGCTCATCGCCATTGGCGGACGTGCGGAAGTCGAGGGTGCACTCGGTGATGTTGTCAGAGTCGTAGTAGAACAATGCGGTGCTGACAATATGCTCGTTGAGCTGGCCCTCTGTATGCCATGACCCACCCGCGTACGAGGGCTTGTCGGGGGTGAGGTGGATGTTTGCGAGCTTGACGATAACTTGGACCTGGGACTTGTTGTTGAAGAAGCCATGCGTCTTGACGTGGGAGCTGTCAATGCGGACGTGCTTTTCCGCCAGAGGGTCGGCGTCGGGGAGTTTGAGGGCATGGGTCGCAAAGAACCAAGCGTCATCCAGCTTCTTCCGCTCAGAGTCTTTGTACTCGTCGTCGTACTGCTCTTCGTCATCTGGATCTCTAGGCTCTTCGCCCTCGCCCACGGGACGTTTCCATGGCTCACATGAACAATTCATGTCGTCCAACTGGCATAGTTCAGGGCATGGACAATCCCCAAACCCGGCCTCGTCTGTACGAAGACGCTGCACCGAGAATTCTTTCTCCCAGTTGTAGATGATGTCCCACGCCGGCAGGGACTTTTCGATGAATCTTTCAATGACGGCGTACAGATCGCTGTGTTCCTTTGGGTGCAGGTTGTTGATGTAGCTTGCAATCTTGGCTTTTCCAGTCGTTGAATCGATTTTGACATCACAGGGAAGCCACTGGAACAAGTTCGAAAGAATGGTGATGCTCTCCTCGCAGAAACTGCCTGCTTTGATGAGCATCTCCGTCTCCTTTTGCTTCCGCTTCGGTAGAATCGTTCCCGTGCCGCAATGCTCGAGAGCGTCATCCAGGCCGATGACGCGATCTCGGAGGACCCTAGAGCGGCCGTACATCAATGGCCAAAGAGAAGGATGCACAAGATCCAAAACTTGTTCGTTGCTGTTGGGGTGCCAGTCTTTGTCTTCTGCAGGAACTTCTTCCAGCGGTTTGACGCCTTTCCGAAGAGACGCAGCCATATCGAATGTCATGATGGCGTCGGATTTGATGACGGCGATGGAGTAGTCAAGTACGGGCATCAAGCCGGTCTGTTCGTATAAAACTGCCTTCTTTTTCAATTCGCTGATGCACTTGAACTTTGTCAACAATGCGTCCGCACAAATGATCGGTAGCGTGACTTACGGCGTCGGCCATCGCGGGAGTGAAATCGGCGTGCTTCAGATACAGCGTCCAGTCCATACGCAAGGCCTCTTTCTTCCACTTTCCGGCAACCTCGTCGTCTTGTACCTTGCGCCACCACTCCGGCTTGTCGGATAGCGCGTTGATAAACTTCATCATGCAGCACTCGCGGATGAGCAGCGTGGCGGCGCGCCATCCTCCGCCCCACCGGTCATCCATATACAGCAACGGGAACCGGTTTTCGGCGTCGGGCATGTGACCAAGGGGAAGACCAAAGCCGGGCTTGCGTATGATCCAGTCCTTTCTCAAAGTCAGAGTTTAGGAGAGATAGAGACTTTATTGATAACTCACTAGCTCATCTTCCTTGGCCTTGTTTTCCAAAGGATTGCTTCCTTGGTCGGATTCAAGGGTGTTGGATCGTGGAACGAGTTCGTGCGACATGGTAGTGCAGTAAGCGCTGTGCTGTGGAAGAAAATAATTAACTACGCTATGAGTTGTGTTGTCTGTTGGAGGCTGAAGACAGATTAAATACATACTCGCCGCTCATATTTTCGCTGAAGTCCCATGGTGTTACAAGTTCATGATAGGCAGCAAGGTGGGGCATTTACG